CGCACCCCACCCCCTCCCCAGAACCTAATCAGTATCACCAAAATTTTCCAGGAAGAACAATAAGATATATTTACTTATAGTTTTTTTTTTTTTTGTGAATCCAGAGGTGGTGTTTCTCCAGATTACAGCATTTATGAAGTGCCTTAATATTTACTTTCACCTGCAGGCTCTGGCTAGAGGGACTAAAGACTGACACCTGTGTCAGGGCTCACAGATTCTTTCCCTGGGGTGCTCACAGTCGAACCAAACTGACTCCAGGACTCTTTTCTTTTTAAAAATGTATTTTATTTTATTATTTTTAAAAATGTTACATCTAAGACTATTTTGCCTGCATGTATGTCTGTGCATCACATGCATGCCTGATACCTGGAGGCCAGAAGAGGTCAGATACTTGGATCTGGAGTTTCAAATGTGGTAAACCACAATGTTAGTGGGAATTGAACTCGGGTCTTCTGGAAGTGTAGTTAGTACTCTTAACCACTGGGCCATCTCTTCAGCCCCTAGTACTTTTCATGTTATTATGATAAAAGGTGTTGACAGAAGCAACTTAAGATAAGATTGTATCTCCTAGGGAGCTATACCCATAGCACTTCCACAACATGGCTGACTAAACAAGACTTGAACAGTGTTAATAGACATGGTAACATGGAAGCAGGGAATCTCATCATGTCCTACCCCTAGGCAAGGAACTAGACAAAGCAACTGATGAGAAAGGGAAAATTAATCTCTCCGAGGAATAGCTCTCTAATTGTTTATCCAATACAAAGTGATCAGCCATCATGCACACAAACAATACCAAATGGACGCAGCAGGTCGGTTGGTTTGTTTTATTTTTTGGAGTCAGGGTTTCTCTGTGTAGCCCTGGCTGTCCTGGGACTCACTCTGTGGACCAGGCTGGCCTCAATATGAGAGATTCACCTGTCTCTGCTTCTCGAGTACAGGATTAAAGGCGTGAGACACCACTGCCCAGTACCAGCAGATTGTATTTATATATTTATGTGTTTAAATATACATGTAACAACAATAAGGAGAATAAAAGAGGTCATCAATTTGAGAGGGAATGAAGTAGAGATATAGAAAGGGTTAGGGCCAGGGGAGGGATTCGAGTAAGGAAAGAGGGAAGTGTTATGATTAAATTTTAGTTAAGAATTAAAAAGTGACATAAGGGACATAAACGTTTTTCTGGCTTACAGTTTGAAGCTACAGTTCATCATGGAGGAGAAGCTTGTAGTGGCAGGAACATGAGATACCTGATCCTATTGTATCCATAGTCAAGAATGAGTGATGAATGCTTATTCTGTACTCAATTTCTCCATTTTATATAGTTAGGGTCCTAGCTAAGGGATAATGCTACCCACTGGGGGTGGGTCTTCCTGCCTCAGTCAACTTAAGCACCTCATACCCAAATGCTGTGTCTAGGTGATTCTCCATTTCATCAAGTTGACAACTGAGATTACCACACACTTGGTTATGAAACAAGAAATCAACATCAATCAGCATAGAAGCCTATTCAGAAGCAATTTTGTTGTTCACCTGCTTGCTACTATGAGTCCTTTCTGAACGAGACAGAGTTCCTGTGTGTGTTCCTGCATTTCTATGTTTTGCTGATTGTACATGGCTATTGGAGCACAATGGCCCCTGCTACATGTGTTGTCTGGATTTAAAGTGACACGATGCTGCCTGTTCCTCAGGTATTTGGATGGAACTGAGCAAAATGGATGGAAAGTGCTCTTTTTTTTTTTTTTCTTCCCAGTAGTGAGTCATTTTTTAGGATAAAAAGGATAAGTGAAAGGGATAATGAAGCGATTTTAAAATTACAATAAAATACTGTTTAGTGTTCATATAGTGGTCATCTTGTGCTATATGTTGTTCAAGTTTTATGCATACTTATGTATACACACAAACGTGTAAAGTACATCTGTAGTATGTCTAATACTTTAGAACACAGCATTACTAGTAGTTGGATATTCTTAGTCATATCTTGTTTGTCATATTTAAGCCCAATGATGTTAAAGTAAGTTGGCCGAACATAAAAGTTGGTGAACATAAAAGATGGATAGTTTAGAACAAGTTGGCTAAATTGTTGCATCACTGAGAGTGCCTATTTCTTTCTTATTATAATTTTTATTAATTACAGTTTATTCCCTTTGTATCCCACCTGTAGCTCCCTCCCTCTTCTCCTTCCTCCCTCTTCTCCACCCATATTCCTCCCCCAGTCTACTGATAAGGGAGATGGTCCTCCCCTTCTATCTGATCCTAGCCTATCAGGTCTCATCAGGACTGCCTGCATTGTCTTCTTTTGTGGCCTCAGACGATTAGGAATAGTGCTACCTCAAGATCCAGCTATATCTCTCATAGGCATATATCCAAAAGATGCTCAAGTACACAACAAGGACATTTGTTCAACCATGTTCGTAGCAGCTTTATTTGTAATAGCCAGAAGCTGGAAGCAACCCAGATGGCCCTCAGTCGAGGAATAGATACAGAAATTTTGGTACACTTACACAATGGAATATTACTCAGCAATTAAAAACAAGGAAATCATGAAATTTCCAGGCAAATGGTGGGACCTAGAAAAGATCATCCTGATTGAGGTATCTCAGAAGCAGAAAGACACACAGGGTATATACTCACTTATAAGTAGACATTAGACATATTATATAGGATGAACATACTAAAATCTATAGTCCTAAAGAAGCTAATGAAGAAGGCCTCTGGGTAAGATGCTCAATCCTCATTCAGAAAGTCAAAGAAGGTGGACATCAGAAGAGGGGGAAAACAGGGAACAGGACAAGAGCCTACCACAGAGAGCCTCTGAAAGACTCTACCCTGCAGAGTATCAAAGCAGATGCTAAGACTCATAGCCAAACTTTGGGCAGAGTGCAGGGAATCTTATGAAAGAAGGGGGAGATAGAAAGACCTGGAGGGGACAGGAGCTCCACAAGGAGAGCAAGAGAACCAAAAAATCTGGACATGGGTGTTTTTTGAGACTGATACCCCAACCATGGACCATGTATGGCCATAACCTAGGCTATAACCCCTGCACAGATGTAGCTCAGGGCAGCTCAGTGTCCAAGTAGGTTCCCTAGTAATGGGAACAGGGACTGTCTCTTACATAAACTGATTGGCCTGCTCTTTGATCACCTCCCCCTCAGGGGGGTACAGCCACCGAGAAAGTACTCTTTTAGTCTGGAGTTCTCCCTATTTTGTCAGTGTTTTGGAAGCCTACTGTCTGGCTCGGGGGCTGAGAGAAGCACAGAATCACTGTTATGCTTGACTGTCCTGTCTAGTAGTGTTGTCTTGTGGGTTTCTATTTACTGACAGAATTCTGTTTAACAGCACTTTATTTTTAGTAGCATACCCTGCTGTGCTGAGGGCTCTGGAGGGCAGGTTGGCAGAGGAGAGAACTTGGTTTGATAAGAGTCATCAACCCTTCCTTCCTTCCTTCCTTCCTTCCTTCCTTCCTTCCTTCCTTCCTTCCTTCCTTCCTTCCTTCCTTCCTCCTCTCTCCCTCCCCCCCTCCCTCCCTCTCTCTCCCCATCTCCTGCCACTGGCTCTCAGGATTGCACCCTTACTCTCAGTAAGGGCTTGGGAATCTATGGAAGTGGGTCATGTCAATTTCACAGTGGTTTAGCATACCACATCCAGCATTCTGTCTATCTGTATCCCTCATGATAGGTGTGGTTTTAAAGCCCAGTAGTGAAGAATATATTTTTCTCTTTGAAAATCTGATTAATCACTTGGTGGACCTTACTTTTATACCCCCATACCTCTCACATAGCCTTAATAATCTCAGAGGGTTTTTTGTTTTCCTTGGGTAGGGTGTTGGGCTGCTGAGTATTTGCTTTGCTGAGTGCTGGGATTAAAGGTGTGTGCCACCACTGCCTGGCCATTCTGTGTGTTTTTAAAAATTACATACTTATTAAAATTAAATGGCTTTAAAGTTCTGGCTTTCTTTGCCTTCTTTTTTTTTTTTTTTGGCAGCCAAACTTTAACGTGGTCTCTTGATCTCTGGTCCCAGCATTGTGGGGCTACACTACCTTTTGGAGCATATCTCTGGACTATTTTTGTTTTTGTTTTTGTTTTTCGAAACAGGGTTTCTCTGTGTAGACTTGGCTGGCCTGGTCTTGCTTTGTAGACCAGGCTGGCCTTGAACTCACTGAGCTCTACCTGCCTCTGCCTCTGCCTCCATGAGTGCTGGGATTAAAGGCCAGTGTGCCACCATGCCCAGCTGACTTTAGCTTATTTTACTCCTGATGGCAAGAATACTATTTTTACTTTATTACTGTAAACATTTACTTTATAAGGTAAGTATTAGTCCTTTGTCTTTAAGAAATTAGTCTGAGAATCCTATGAAGAAGGCTTAGCTGTCAGTAGTTGTCTTGCTTTTGGCCACACCTGATATCAAACTGGGATCTTACCTATCTGTACTCTTACCTATCTGTTCATTTGCCTCTTAATTTTATTGAAAAAGTTATAATTTATTCCAAAATTCATATCTTCTGGAGCAAGTGTTTGTTTATTCCAGAAAATATTTTAACATTTGAAGAAAAAGGCTGTATAGGATGTTCTCTGCCATCCCATACTCCTCCCCCCAATCCCTGAGGCTCTTCTTCTTCCTTTCTTAGACATCTCTGTATCCTGCTGTGCCTGTATGTCAGGTTAATTTAGAAATTCACTCTACCAAAAATATTCTGCTTGAACTAGAGCTTTATAGGATAATTGTAGCTGTCTGTGTGTGTGGTATTATGTGTTGGGTGTGTAGGGCTAGAGGTTGAACCCAGGGACTTGTTTATGCAAGGTGGGTACCTACCACTGAATCGCCGTCAGTGAAACAGTTTTTTTTTTTTTTTTTTTTTTTTTTTTTTAGTGAAACAGTTTTAATGTTGTTTGTTGAATCTCTTTTATGACCACTCCAGAAGCCTCGCAGCTCTTTACTTACTGGGAAAGAGGATGCAGAACTTACCCTCAACACATCTAAACAATTTGTGTTTTACTAGGCGGGTGCCAATATTGACACTTGCTCAGAAGATCAGCGGACCCCACTGATGGAGGCTGCAGAAAACAATCACTTGGATGCAGTGAAGTACCTCATCAAGGCCGGAGCACAGGTGGATCCGAAGGTACCCACCCAGTCAGGTTCATATTCCTATTTCATGTGTAGATGTTTCTAAGGTGAACAGGGAACAGTTTTTCCTTGAAACACCTGCAGGAACTTATTGCTATCAGATATTTATTCTGTTGTCTAGCATAGCGTTTCCACTTACTTGGTGTAGTACTGACTTTTCTTCTTATTGTGACAAAATGCCTGGCAGAATGACTTACAGGAGTAAAGATTTAGTTTGGCTCAAAATTTCAGAAGGGTTTCAGTCAATCAAAGTGCAGGAGGATGGCAGAATTGCAGCAGGAACTTATGGCAGTCAGTGTTTGTGTGCTGATAGTTCAGAAGGAGAAGATATAAGCCAGGCCCCAGAGCAGGTATAACCCGGAAGAGGCCTCTTCATGGTGACCTGCTTCTGCCAGCCAGGCTCCACCTTCTGAAAATTTCAGATTTTAAGCTGGGACTCAGTCTTTGGAACATTTCAGATACAAACTATAAGTACATAGTGACCTGGTCTACTCGTAAAGATTTCCTAGTAACCACTGGATCTATCTGTTGTACCAGTAACAGACAAATCAACTAATCAGGAGTTGGCCGTGAAGTATATGTCTTCCTTCTTTCATTTTGCTTTTCCTCTATTGTGTATTTGTGTAGAACATCAGTTAGGCAAGAAGAGAAATAGATGGCTTAAATATCACTCAGTTCGCAGTTAATGTGATCTTATGTGTAAAAACCATAAAGGATCAACAAAACTATTGTTAGAGTTAGTAAAATAATTTAACAAGTAATAGGACACAAAATTGACACGAATAACAGTTAAATTTCATTTTTCTCGTGTCTTTTTTTGGTACAGGGTCTTATTATATATTGTGAGCTTAGGACTTATGATCCTCCTGCCTCAGACTTCTCAGGTTGGGGTTATAGGTGTGCATCACCATGTTTGATTTATTTTTCTATATTCTTTCAGTTAATTTATCCAAAAAGGAAGTTGAGTTAATTTCATTTATAGTTATCATCAAAAAGAATAAAATACTTAGAAGTCTTTGATTAGTTTAATCAAAGAGACCAAAAGCTTACACATTGAGAAGCAATTGTTAAAGGAGGCAGGATTTAGTATGTAGCTCAGTTAGTGGTGCTTGCTTCATTACCACATAAACCCTTCATTGAGATTTGCACCTTTAATTCCAGCATTTGGGAGGCAAAAGGCAGGATGATCAGAATTCAAGGTCATCTTTTGGCTATACAGTGAGTTTGATGCCAGCTTGGGCTACTTGAAGGCTTTATCTTTAAAAAAAAAAAAAATTCAAATAAATGGGAGATCATTATGTAATCCTTATCAAAATTCCAACCACATATAGAAACACCAATCTTAAAGTTTATACAGGCCTTTCAGGAAATCTAGAATAGTGGTACAAGGTTGAAAGAGAACAAATTGGTGTGATTAGACTTCCTTATGTCAGAACTTACTGCAAAGCTACAGTAATGAAAATGGTATAGTTCTGGTATGAAGATAGAGCTGCAGATCAATGGAATTAGATGAAAAAAATCTTAGAAATAAACTACTACTTGTGATGTTAGTCCATTTAAGGCAACTTTTCAGCAAATGGTGCTGGGAAAACTTGGTATTCTATATTGAATAATGTGTGTGTGTATATATATATATAATGTATAATATAATGTATATAATTCCATGTATGTGTAAAAATGGATCAAAGAACTGAACATAATAGCTAAAGTTATATACTTTTCAAGATAGTAAAACCCATAACCATAACACTTAAAATAAAGAGGTCGGAGGATTGTGACTCCAAGGCCAAACTCTGTCAAGAACTCTTTCAAGAACCTCTCTCAAAATAATGCAATTCCTAATGGCTTGGTGACTCAACAATTCTACCTGTAGGTATATAACCAAGAAATACAAGACAGTCTTGAACACCACTATGTATTGTTGCACTCTTCCCAGAAATAACTCAACAATCCTGTATTACTTTAAGGAACAAGTAGTCTGTCTACTCAACGGAATGTCATTCAGCCATGGTTAGGAATAAAACATAGAGATGTTACAGCCCAGGTAAACTTTTGGGGATATAAAATATAAAAAGCTAGACACAAGCTTATAAGGCCTCTTTCTCTGTAGCCTAATAAGGCCACCTCTCCAGGGGAAGGTGATGAAAGAGCAGGCAACTGAGGCCATGGCAGTGACTGCCTCTACTCCCCTTACTAGGGAACCCACATGTAGACTGAACTCCCCATGGGCTACATCTGAGCAGGGGGTCTAGGTCCTCTCCATGCATGGTCCTTGGTTGATTTGTCAGTCTCTGCAGTCCCCACTAGGCCCGGAATTTTTTGCTCTGTTGGGCTCCTTGTGGAGCTCCTGTCCCCTAGGTCTTTCTGTCTCCCTCTTCTTCCATAAAATTGCCTGCACGCTGCCCAAAGTTTGGCTATAAGTCTCAGCATCTGCTTCAATACCCTGCCGAGTAGAGTCCTTTTAGAGGTCCTCTGTGGAAGGCTCCTGTCCTGTTCCCTGTCTTATCCTACTTCCGATGTCTATCCTATTTTCCCTTCTGAATGAGGATTAAGCCTCTTCCCTAGGGTCCTTTTTGTTGCTTAGCTTCTTTATGACTATAGATTTTAGTATGTTCATCCTATATAATATGATTGATATCCACTTACTAGTGAGTATATACCATGTGTGTCTTTCTGCTTCTGGGTTACCTCAATCAGGATGATCTTTTCTAGTTCTATCCATTTGCCTGCCAGTTTCATGATTTCCTTGTTTTTAATTGCTAAGTAGTATTTCATTGTGTAAATGTACCACAATTTCTGTATCCATTCTTCAGTTGAGGGACATCTAGGTTGTTTCCAGATTCTGGTATTATGAATAAAGCTGCTATGAACATAGTTGAGCAAATGTCCTTGTATGGTTGAGTAGGGGAGGAGGACCTCCCCTTTCAGTGGACTAGGGGAAGGACGTGGTGGGGGGATAGGAGGGGAGGTAGGGTGGGACCAGGAGATGAGGGAGGGGGCTACAGCCAGGATATAAAGTGAATAAATTATAATTAATAATAATAATAATAATAACGAAAAATATTTTTCAGAAAACCAAAACTTGACATTTAAAAAATTAAAAAAAAAGAAGCTAGACACAAAGCATAATTACCACAAACTTCCATTTATGTAAGATTCCAAGATAGGAAAATCATAGATAGAGTGTGGCTTGGATAATGATGCCAGGTATAGAAAAGATGCGAGGTAAGTAGGTAGAGCCTGATGATTGTAGGGTTTTTGTTTTGTTTTGAAAAAGTTATTGAAACAGTGACAATCATGTTTTAATATTATATGTAATTTCACTGATTTGTATACTTAGAAATTAGAGGGCCTGTAATCCCTCTAATTACTTGGGGAGGTAGCAGCAGAAGGATCTCTATGAGTTCAGTGGTGACTTGGTTTATGTAGTGAGTTCCAGGGCAACCCAAGTAGGACTGTACCAAAAAAGCAAAATAAACCTAAAATAGTACTAATAATAAGAAATTATAAAATAAAAATTGGATGGCTAAGGATATAGCTTTTAGTGGAATGCTTGCCTAGCATGCATTTGATCCTCATAAACTGGGTGTGGTAGGGTAGGCCTGTAGTCATTACACTCAGGAGATAGAGGTGGGGCCATCAGAAGTTGATGTCTACAGAATGACTTCAAGGGTCAGACTTAGTACATGAGACTGAGAACAAAACATAAGAATGCAATAGTTTATGACATACTGTGCTAAATAAACAATGTAAAGAATAAAGGTATAATGATATTATTCCATGATAGAGTACATGCCTAGGACTTAGTTTTGAGGCTCTGTATTCATCTCTTAACACCCTTCCCCAGTGTAGAAGTTATTCTTTTTCACATCAGTACCTGTGTGTTTGTTTTTTCAACAAAATGTGGCTATAACCTCTGTTCAGATTTATCAAGTCTGTATTCACATCAAGTTAAAATTTCGCTATTTCTCTCTTATTAAATACCACTCTTGGAGCGAGCCAGGTATCTTTTTGGGTAGATTTGCTACATTAAAAAGGAGAGTACTAAGTTTTCATCTGGAACAGGTGGGAGCCTACAAATCCAAGATGTAGAGGGGCTGCCATCTAAGTGCTGAGGGCAGATGTTAAGACTGAGAATTGTGTGAATGGGTTTTGCAGTAGTTTTAATATAGCAAAAGAAAGGGTGAAACTTTTCAGTATTCAAACATTATAGGCTATACCCCAACATGTATGTTCCTGATTTCTCAAAAAGATGGTATAGAAAACCTAGGAGAGAAAAAATTTGGATTAAGAACGAAGAACTCATGATCTCGTGTGTGTGTGTGTGTGTGTGTGTGTGTGTGTGTGTGTGTGTGTGTGTACAGTTTGTTTGTTTGAGACAGGATTTTTCTGTGTAGCCTTGGCTGTCCTAGACTCACTTTGTAGGCCAGACTGGCCTGGAACTTACAGAGATCCGCCTGCCTCTGCTGGGATTACAGGCGTGCACCACCACACCCAGCTCATACATTTCTTATATTTAAGAAAACCAGTAATCCATAGATCTAAACAAACAAACAAAAAAGCAACTCAATAACCTGAAGTAAGGCAAATGGAAAACATACCACATTCAGATACATCAGTGAGAAATTGTCAAGAATGTCCAGAGCAAACATGCAAGTTGGGTACTAGCAGACTCCCTGACCTGATGCCTGATGCCCTGATAACCCAGAGAAGGTGTTCTTTTAAAAATGAGGTAAAACAAGGTATGGTGGTACATGTCTATTATCCCAGTACTCTGGGGGCAGAGGCAGGCAGATCTCTTGAGTTCAGTGCCTGCCTGGGCTACACAGTGAGACACTGTCTCAAACAATAAAATGAATATAGAAGCTGTTCTTTAAATTTCTGTTAATAACTGACATTTTAGTTTGTACACAATTTTAACACATGTACCAAAAAACTGAGAGACATATATTATGTGTTTTTTAAACCAGTTAGTTATTCCAGTGGTGTTCCAGC